CAAACCCTTTGCACTTTCTCCAGCTTCTTCACACGCTTAACCCAGTTGTATACTCCAAGATGTGTCTAACAATTGCAGTGTATACTGCAGTGTATTGTTGTGGGTGTACGTGAGTGTTGGTGTGTATGAATGTGGGTGTATGAGTGAGTGTATGTTGCACCTGTGTTCATGCTTGTGCATTGGTATCAACACTTTACAAGGAACGTGAATTATTATTTATGACTATATTTCATGAGGAAATACCTCCCATTCCCCAGTGCCTGGGGAAATAGAAGGCATTAAGGTTCGATTCAAGGAAGGGGAGGATAAATCCCATTCCTTGGATCAAAGAACACTACAAACACTAACTTCTCACTACTGCTATGTAGACTGATGCTGAGACTGACACTGCGACGCAGCCCCTGAGGTCTAGTGGCCTTTTCTTCTCTTACAGAAAAGGAATTACTCAGCCCCTTTCTCGAAGCCTTCTGCTGGAAACACTCTTGCAGATCCATCATACTATGGCTGGTATTGAGCGGCAGGGAATCGCTGGGAGAGCCATATGGCTTACCAAAGGCTGCAAGATGGTCTGTCTGGCTACTTCTGGATGTGTCGTGGTGGATGATGTCTCTGGATATGTCGTGGTGGATGCTATCTCTAGATGTGTCATGGTGGATGCTGTCTCTGGATGTGTCGTGGTGGATGCTGTCTCTGGATGTGTCGTGGTGGATGCTGTCTCTGGATGTGTCGCGGTGGATGCTGTCTCTGGATGTGTCGTGGTGGATGCTGTCTCTGGATGTGTCGCGGTGGATGCTGTCTCTGGATGTGTCGTGGTGGATGCTGTCTCTGGATGTGTCGCGGTGGATGCTGTCTCTGGATGTGGCGTGATGGATGCTGTCTCTGGATGTGTCGCGGAAGATGCTGTCTCTGGATGTGGCGTGATGGATGCTGTCTCTGGAGGCAGCACAGGGGTCACAGTGGAGCTGGTGGTGTAGTACTTCGTCAGGAAGGTTAAGAGACTCCACGCTCATTGAGCTGTGGACTGAATCCCAAAATCTGAGAGGTTCATGGATGTCTGTGCTAGCAATACTCCAGCGGGCGGTGGCCAGGCTGCTGCCTGGGTTTATGCGACATCGTAGGAGCACTGCCTGTGGTAATGCAGCCTGCTCAGTGAAGTCTGCAGTGTCCACCTCAGTCTCTTCTGGGAAACTTGCTGTGTTTGTTTCAGTCTGCTCGGCGAAACTTGCTGCGTTTTCCTCAGTCTGCTTAGCGAAACCTGCTTCAGGCTGCACTCCGAAGCCAGATTTGTCTGCTTCAGTTTGTTCAGCGAAGGCTGCAGTGTCTGTTTCAGTCTCTTCAGGAAAGAATCCTATTTCTTCTTCACTCCGCTCGGTGGAGCCTGCAGTGTTCGTTTCGGTCTCCCCACCAAAGCTTTCTTTATCCATAGCGTCTGCTTCCGAATGCTCAGCGAAGCCTGCAGTGTCAGCCTCAGAGTCGTTTACAGATGTGACCTGCTCGACTTCATCGTTGTCAACTCCCTCTTCGTTTATAGTGAAAAGCTCACCTGCGCTGCAACAGCAGTTAACATCTTTCCTGGCCTCCACCTCGCGCCAGTCACTGTCTGTCTCCCACTTACTCCAGTCATTGTTTCTCTCCCAGTTACCCAACCCCACGCACACTGTTTTCTCCCTCATGTCACTTGGCAAGTTTTTCTCACTGACATCACTCGACAATCCGTCAGACCATTGCAATTTGTCCTCTCCCTCACTGACTGTATCCTTAACATACCATACTGTTAATCTGTCAGGGACATTGTCTTCAAGTTCACGCTTAATGTCAACCTTATTTCTCTCGACAGTAACTGCAGTAGGGTGAGGAGAGATCCCTGAGTCGAGTGCTTGTTTTGGCAGCACCTGCACTGACTCACCTCGCCCTTCATCAACAGGTGAACACTCTCCTGCATCTCTGCCATTAATTGTGCCACCACCTTCCACACCAACTCCATTTTCTTCAGCCCGTTTGTTAGTTCTTCTACTCAGCATTTGCTGAAATGTTTTAAGAAATAGTGAGCTAGACGAGGGGCTTTTATTGGAGGCAGTTTTCAAAAGAGGTGTCTTATTTCTTGTGCCCTTGTCATTTTCAGAGTCACTTAGTGCTTCACAGCTACCACGTAGGGTCGTCCTGCCCAGAGTTTCATTAAATTTACCGGCTGAGATGTCAGCTGAACTCAAACTCTGGGACCGTCGCACTTTGTTCCTTGATTTTGGAGCAGTTTCCTCCACCTTAAATTTTCGACTTAAATAACTTGGCGGAGCCATTGCCCAAATCTATTTTTCCGTCTTTAACAAAATATATATACACACTCGTGAACAGATATTCAAGCATTAGGCAAGTCCGAATCAACGCTTCTTTCCTAGACAACACAAAGCCGACCGCCTGTCCATTACAGGTGGTCTCGGAGAAGGAAGGGACACGCTATGCCCAAACACTATTAACGTGTTCTTGCATACACAATAACAGGCAGTGAGTGCAGCAGCACACACTAGCAGCCACCACCGGCCTCCCATGACAACTGGGGTCCGTTATCGCCTCAGTCTATCACCTAGAGAACACCACACTGATAACATAGATACCACAGCTGGCTCTTAGCAGTTTTTTTTTTTTATAAAAGATACATCTTGGTATCATTCATTATTTGTTCTTAAGTTAATCTATAAATGCACTGATAGAGCAAAAGTGTAACTATAACGATTAAAGTTTAAAACATATGTTAAGCATCATCCGTGCTGCCTCTCAGTAATGGCATCAAGGTTGGCTATACTTTTGAATTCATAGGTGACGACATTTTTACAACCTCTAGCCAAGTTCACATTCATCATGGGGCGACAAAGACGAGAGTTGCGTCTGGTCCTCGGTGAAAAGCACTTATTTTATATTTAAAATATCGAAATATTTGGAGACCACATTTTCACAATATATTTTTTTTTCTATTGTCTAGGTAATAATTCTTTCCATGGTTCGGAGAACACGGATCTAACTGCTTGGAAAACGACACACGTCAAAACGGAAAAATATTGTAATAAAAATTCTATTGACAATTTTAAGAGATCCTATTATCCGTAGAGACACGAAAGAAATGATGGAAGGCACGACTCTCTAATATTAAAACTTAAGTACTGTTGGAATAATCACATTGTTACATCCGTAAAAGAAAAGGCGTAATGCTGGGTACATGACTTTCTTATATATAGAATGGACAACAGCAGACAAAATTTTGCCTACTCATTAATGCCTAACCAGTGTGGTTTAAGATTTCTCTTCAGTGAGTTCACTAGGCAAGTTCACTCATCCTTTGAGTGAACATATCACTATAAAGATTATATTACAGCCTAAATAAGCTACAAAGAGTTCCTAGATGCAGTGTGAAGGGCTGTTGATCCAAGGAAGTGGTGAAGGGCTGTTGATCCAAGAAAGTGGTGAAGGGCTGTTGATCCAAGAAAGTGGTGAAGGGCTGTTGATCCAAGAAACTGGTAAAGGGCTGTTGATCCAAGAAAGTGGTGAAGGGCTGTTGATCCAAGAAAGTGGTGAAGGGCTGTTGATCCAAGAAAGTGGTGAAGGGCTGTTGATCCAAGAAACTGGTAAAGGGCTGTTGATCTAAGGAACTGATGAAGGGCTGTTGATCCAAGAAACTGATGAAGGGCTGTTGATCCAAGAAAGTGGTGAAGGGCTGTTGATCCAAGAAAGTGGTGAAGGGTTGTTGATCCAAGGAACTGGTGAAGGGCTGTTGATCCAAGAAACTGAAGCTACCCAGCCATCCTTGGGATCAACTCTAATTACCTAACATTCTCCAGGCGAGTTTTTTAGTGCTTCCTCATGAATATAATAATGATAAATAAACAGCACCACTCATCATGTTGGTGAACATGCAGCAATAAAAATTATTTTACAGCCTAAATAATTAATAAAACGAGGATAAAGATGTAATATGCAGAACAAGCTTTAACTGGAATCGGGTAATGAAATTTACAGCCTATGGACTACAAGAGAATCATTAAGGCTACATATAACCTTTCCACAACCAGTCAAGAATATTTTAATTGCTAAAACAAAAAATAAAGTAAACCTTTAGCATATAAACGCTGAAATACACATTTCTGCGATATATTTTGTCGTTCATTGGGACTAAGTTTGGTTCAAGGTAGAAATGGTACTGAATATTGTTTCGCTAAAGACATCAGCGTTGCATGACCCTTGTAGGTTTAGCGCTTCTTTTACAATAATAATAATAATAATAATAATAATAATAATAATAATAATAATAACAATAATAGTAATAATCTATACACATACCTGTGCGTATTAAGTCTGTCCATCCAGTTAATATTCAGGAATTACTATCTTCACAAATTATCGTAATGTAATTCCTGCCAATGCTGCATATTTTATTGTAAAATACAACGAGCCTTTGTTATAATCTAAACTTGACATACTTTGACAACCTATTAGCGAAGCTGTTGGTGCTCGTTGTACGCAGTCTGACGTAAGCTTCACATTCTGGGTAGAATATAGGTGAGTACATATAGGAAGAATGTCCGTCTCGCGCTCAGCAGACGGAGGATCAAGCCTCCATCACGTCTTGCACTAAATGACTCTCATGGATTTAGCGGTTAATTGTACTGTCTATTTATTATCACATTCTGGCTAATCACGAATTGCTCAGATTCCCTCTTAAATGCTTCATAAATGTTAGGATCATGAACATAATCAGGTGTCTTATATGTTAATGGAAAGAATCACACACTTCTGTACCTAGTCATTTTATCAACATTTTTGAGGCACTGGTACCAAATGAAGGGAAAATGCTTGGAGAGAAAGGCCTCTGACTCGACACCTTTCTTGGCTTAAACCTTATTCCCCAGGCGTTGAATGACCCATATGGAATTTAGCGCATCGTTTGACTACAAAAAATAATAATCAGAGGGTTTGGGATACGGGGATAAAGTATAGCTTGAAACACTTACTTTGGCGCCTGTGTTTTGACTGATCCACCTCCGTTTTCTTCCTCGTTGCTGGAATACGACTCGAAGTCCTCGGAGCCCCAGGAGTCTGAGGAGGACAACTGACGGTGCACGTGGAGGCGGCGAGATACCCACGTCTCTTCGTTGACACCACCGCTGACACTGCCACCACCTCCACCACCGCTACCACCACCGTTGCCGCCGCCACCGCTTTCACCACCACCACTGCCGCTGCCTACGCCGCCACTGCCCAGATCAGAGATGTCCTCGTAGATGCGTTCCTCGCACCAGGGGCCGCTCAGGGTACTCGACCGACTAGACCTACTCGACCTACTCGACCGCGAGTCTGCAAGAAAAATGTGATTGGTTAGTGACGTAGATCAGGGCTACACAAGATAATATAATGCACAAACAAGGCTAAGGGGCAGTAAATCCAGCAAGCAGCAAGCTAAAAGGCAGAGCCAGGAGCAGAGACTCAACCCCTTCAACCAAAAAAAGTGCACACAAACACATGTTTTTAACTTGTATAAATAACTTACCAGAAGGAACAGAAAACTATACGTGATCACAAACGATCCAAAAAAAGGGTAATAAAATAAAATAATTATATATTTCTACAGGAAGATTTGGATATGGAGAAAGACAGTTATGTACAGTTTAGGACATTTATTAAAGGAAACGTTTCGCCACGAGTGGCTTCTTCAGTCACTCGTGGCTGAAGTAGTGACCTAGTAGCGACCAGTGAAGAAGCAGGGCCAGGAGCTGTGACTCGACCCCTGCAACCACAACTAGGTGAGTATATAATAATTTAAGCCAAATTACATACCACAGACAGAATGTCAGCTTGAGGGAAGAAATAAAGAAAAATAGTATAACGAAAACAAATGCATAACTTTAGTCCTGAACCAATCAGCACACATGGTAGACCTAAGACCCTGACGCAAGTATATATATGAGGGACCCCCTTGAAAGCAGCCATATATACACGCGTCACCCAGAGGTAAGTTAGTGCTGGTATTGAAGCCTTTAGTAGCAATATATTCTAAGTGTCATATAGAGATAAAGATTCCCACCTGGCTTACATACCCATGTAGCTCTGGGTAGGTGACATGGGTCTGGCGTAACTGTTGGTTAGGTGTGGTTTGGGGTGGTAGGTGAGAGTCGTGGGGAGAAGGCACTGGGGCAGGTCATAGTAACCCACGACCTTGTCTAGGTCTACCATGTGTACCACAGCGTTAATAAATGAAGGACACGGACAAATTAATGAGAAAGAAAGGGTTAACTACCCTCACAATATATATTATATATATATATATATATATATATATATATATATATATATATATATATATATAATATATATATATATATATGCATCATTCACAAGGATGAGGAAGCAAGCTGGGTAGCGCCCCCCTAACTTACACTTCCGAGGCCCTCTGTCTTACCACAGTCCTGGACGATTCTTTCATTCCTATCGTCGCTTCTTTCATTCCTAACGCCGGTGCTTTCATTTTTATCATCGATGCTTTCATAGATTGGCTCGGGGACCCTCCGCAGGTTATTTCTATTATTTTCCTTGCGTTCGCACACGCCCCTTTCAGTTTCACTTTGCATGTTACAATCAGTCAAACTTCCGGCAACAGTTTTCTCCTCGCCGGCAGTGCCGCTGCTGCTTCTTCCACTGCTACTGCTGCTGTTACTGCTGCTACGACTCAGTCTGCGTTCCTTCACTTCACTCGGAATCTCATAAACATGTTCAGCAGCGTTCTTCATAACCTCTTCTTTGACACTGTCGCTGCTTCGTACTTCAGATTCAGTCACCTCACAGCTTTTCTCCCCTCCTTGAACCACCACGGGTACGGGGTCACCCTCTCCTACTGTGGCATAATATGGCTCGGCACAAAACACTGTTCCTAGATGATGGGGGTCTATACCAGTTTCTGGTGGCAGAATCTTGTCTTCGTCTGCTGCATTCTGATCTTCCGTTTCAAAGTTCTTGGCCGGAGTTTCGTTTGTAACAATATTTTCACCACTGGCTTCCTCTCTTCTCATTGGCACATGCAAGCTTAAACTCTCGCCGTCACTCTCCATTTCCCCTTGACCTTTATCCTTGCCCTCTCTCTCTCTTAGTCCACTATCCTTGGTTTCATTCGGTTTATTTTCATCTATAACTTCCCGTCCCTCATCATCTGAGGCGTTTTCTCTCTCTCCTGAATCACACTCAGTCTCTGGTTCTCTCGTCGGTTCCTCTCTAATCTTATTCTGGAGGAATTCTTGCTGTCCCTCATTTACGGTTGGTTCCTCTGTCAGCTCATTACCCGCAGCGGCGGACTGCACAGCAGTCTCCCTCGCCTCTGAGTGCTCGGCGCAACAGGGACGTGAATGTGTATGTTTAATGTCTGCTTCTTCACAAACATGGGAGTCCTGGGAAGCATCAACCTTTGGCATGCAGACGACATACGGATTTTCACACGGAGGGTCAATACCAGTAGAGTCCTGGCATTCAGATATGGGTGTACTGGGATGCTCTTGTGATTCACTAGAAGGGTCGATGATAATCGGGTGCTCGGGTTCTGTGGGCGGCTCCGGAGGCGGTTCCATGGGCGGTTCCATAGGCGGTTCAGAAGGAAGTTCCATGGGCGGTTCCATTAGCAGTTCCGTAGGCGGTTCCATGGACGGTTCCGTAGGTGGTTCCATGGGCGGTTCCAAGGGTGGTTCCGTGGGCGGTTCCATGGGTGGTTCCGTGGGAGGTTCCATGGGTGGTTCCATGGGTGGTTCCATGGGTGGTTCCGTGGGCGGTTCCATGGGTGGTTCCATGGGCGGTTCAGTAGGCGGTTCCGTTGGAAGTTCCATGGGCGGTTCCACAGTCAGTTCCGTAGGCGCTTCCTTGGTCACTTCCGAGGACATGTCCACGGGTCCCCGCCCGTCACTCACTCGTTCCGTGACTTGTCCCTGGGAACTTTTTACGTCCGTCAACACCACGTCGGAGTGACGAATCACACACAGGGGGTTCACGGTCTGCAGCTCCGGCAGGACACGACAAATGGCCGCCATTAGGTCGGTGGCACCCTCTTCATCGTCACTGGTGAACCTAAGACAAGCATCAGTCTCGTCCAGAATGTCGTGTTCAAGGGCAAATACTGTCTTTCGCACGACCTCCTCCGCGTTGCAAGACGATCCATTATCTGCAGTGCTCATTTCGCTCCCGTGGTCTGTGTTGTTGTTGTTGTTATCGTCGTTGGTATTTGTAAGCTGCTCCTCTAGCAGCGTCTGCTCCTGCAGGCACCGAGGAATTTCTAGTAGTGGCTTCACTGCCAATACTTCCTCGTTGCCTTCCAGCATCATGCTGAGAGCACCTGTAGAACACTTCTCGCTAAACCTTTCCTCGTCTTCTGGTGCAGAGGGGGCAGAGGAATGCTCCTCTATGTCCTCCTCTTCGCCAGATTCTTTCCTGATGGTGTTCTTCATCTCAGCCTCCATCTGTGGGTGGAGGACGCCCCTCTCACTCACTCCGGGGCGCCACCATCCTCCAGATTCACATGCCTGCAGCGGTAACAATGTTGTTTACACCACTAATCACAAGACCTTGCCCATCCCTCACATGAGGATGTTCATACACTCTAGCCTTCGTCCAAGAATGCAACACTAAACTTTGGTTTCAGTGTCACTATGCGATCACTGTCTTTTTCCAAAATGTCTTCTGAATATTTTATAACTTTCTATGCATTTATTTGTATATCATGTTGCACACAACCCAAATACCTGTTGCCTGAAATAAAAATAACAGAATAAGAAAACAAATTTCATTGTAAATTCAGTAAAAGAAAACAATACAGTAATGGTGAAAAAAGCTGTTTTGGAACGCAGGACGACATCCACTATCACCCTCACTGTCGTCCTCCTCTTCTTTCTATTATACTTCAAGTCTTCCTCCAGTTTCCCTTCTATTCCTGCTCCTCTGTCAATTCCCAAAATTAAAACACAAGATGTTGTCACGGAAACTTGGACGAGAGACCAACACGCACCATCCATCCTATTACTTCTTATGTGAAGGAGACCCCTTAATGCTGGTGACGGGCTCTTGATCCAAGAAAATGGAGCTGTCTTCCCCCCTCCCCCATCTCTTAGATGAAACCTAACTATTTACCGTTCCTCTGACACTCTATAACCCTTACGTGTTTTGCGCTTCCAGGAATAAAATATGAAAAGAAAGGAGTAGCACTGACAGCAACAAAATCACACCTTTACAACACGCAAGAAAAAAAAAAAGGCGACAGGAAGCATTAAATTATAACCATCGTCGCTGATAAGCATACTGGCTAACGTACTGAGCCACAGATGACAACAGAGCACATGGAAGGTAAACTGTATATATTAAACATCCAAAACGGATTCAGAGTTGATTTCTTACGAATGTTTTCTTAAGCTGTTGGAAAGTAACATTTATAAAGAAAAAGACGGGAATGGGTAGTATGTATATTCCTAGACTGTAAGAAAGTCATTGACACTACCACACCGGAAACTGAACTACAAATTAGAAGAGAGAGCAAGGGCAATAGTTAAGGTGTGTTCAGTGCTTCCCAATAATAATAATAATAATAATAATAACAATAATAATAATAATAATAATATAATAATAATATTATACAAGAAAGATACGTATCAGAAAGGGCGTATTAGCCCGACCTTTGGCCAATATTATAACACTCTGTATACACCTTTGGTGGGTTCCGAGAGTTTTTCTATTCCGAGAGCCCGGCCTTGGGCCAGGCTCTGGGAGTATCCCTCTTGATGTGTATGCACTGAGAGCAACAGTGTCTATATGCACTTGGAGTGGTGCATATCTTAAAACTTACTTTAATCACTTTACAAGGGATTAGAGTAAAATCCAATGTAAATCCCTTTATAAGGGATTAAAGTAAATTGACGGTGAACTGGTGACGACAAGCAGCCCTTGGAACCATCACGTAGACGATAGGCTTTAAATCTAATGAACCAACCAGCCAACCATCCATCACAGCAATTACTTAAGAGGGGCGTGTAAACAGTATCACAACGGCGTCATGTGCAAGGCTAGCAAGCACGAGAAGTATCTGGAGGAACCTTAACAAGGAACGGTTCAAGACTCCACACACCACGCACGTCACACCAATCAGATACTCGGGAGCATTACCGAGGTGGACAGAGATTGACTGACATGGGAAAGACCAGAACAAGGAGGCACAGATGGGAGCTGCAAACCAAAATGGGCCACGGTGACGTTAGCATGGACATGCATCATGAGCTGGTTGCTGCCGGTGAAGACAGGCAGTGACTAACGCAAATCGTAATAAGAGGATTTCAAACGACTTTAAGGGAACGGAAAGGAAGGGAACCCTGAGGTGAACGCACGTGTAGCTTGAAGCCTCTTTTGGGGTTCTTTCTGGCCCCCTTGAGGGGCTGTCGACTGAAGAAACTAAATCTGCTCTCTTCTTCCTTCAATCGAGCCCGATTGCCTCCCATTTTCCAGGCGCTGTATGGCTCCCATGTGTTTACAGCTTCCCAATAATAATAATAATAATAATAATAATAATAATAATAATAATACCCGGAGGGTGTTTTGGGGGTCAATGCCCCCGCGGCCCGGTTCTAGCGCAAGATAGGATCCAAATGCCGCTTACCCGGATACGGTTTCTTTGGTCATTGACCCCACTGCCCGGTCCTAGACCAGGGTGCAGAGCAAGCATTTACTGGTACAACGTTTCACCCTGTTTAGCTAACTTGATGAGGTTCTGCACCAGGGATTCTCAACTTTTCTTCCATCATTAACCCCCTCGGCTTAATATATTTCTCCATTTACCCCCTTACATCCATACAAAAAATTTATCACCATCATAAAGAGACAGAAAAACAAGGTCAGAAAAATTTTATTGAATTATTATTCAATTATCAGGTACATCAAATATATACCCCTTGCCATGTAATTTTATACCCCTAAGGGGTAAATTTACCCCTGGTTGAGAATCACTGTTCTACACAGAGATCGACATGTTGTCCCAACGAAAGTTTGTTTTGCTTGCTTCATCAGGTCTTCAAACATGAGGCCTGGTCTGAGACCGGGCTGCGGGGGCAATGACCGCCCAGAAACGTCTTCAAGCAGCCTTCAGGTAAGGTCTCATACGGATTTCATGCTTCCTCGTGAATATAATCATTCTAGCGTGAAAGCAGTAAAATGGTGAACCTGGATGATGGTGGATCCGGATGGTAGTAGACCTGGATGACAGTGGACCTGTATGATAGTGGACCTGGATGACAGTGGGCCTGGATGATAGTGAACCTGGATGATAGTGGACCTGGATGACAGTGGACCTGTATGATAGTGGACCTGGATGATAGTGGACCTGGATGATAGTGGACCTGGATGACAGTGGGCCTGGATGATAGTGAACCTGGATGATAGTGGACCTGGATGATAGTGGACCTGGATGACAGTGGGCCTGGATGATAGTGAACCTGGATGATAGTGGACCTGGATGACAGTGGACCTGGATGATAGTGGACCTGGATGATAGTGGACCTGGATGATAGTGGACCTGTATGATAGTGGACCTGGATGAAGAAGTAGTGAATGGCAACTCTACTCCCTACATGATAAACTGGACGGGATCTGAAACTTGACACTCGCAAGCATAAATTTAGTCAAGGATTATTATTATTATTATTAATCACTAGGAGGTTATACAGTATCTGAGGAATAAGAAGCAATCAGGTTTGATCTGAGGAAAGGGAGGTGTAACCCCAGACCCCTTCATCAGCAAGGAGGCTTCCCCAAGTTTGGCGTAGGATTTTCAGGGCTTTTCAAGCATATATATATATATATATATATATATATATATATATATATATATATATATATATATATATATATATATATATATATATATATATATATATATATATGTCGTGCCGAATAGGCAGAACTTGCGATCTTGGCTTAAATAGCAACGCTCATCTTGCCATATAAGACAAGCGAAAATTTGTGTATGCAATAATTTCGCCAAAATCATTCTGAACCTAACGAAAAAAATATATTTGATTGTGTTTGTTTAGTATTAAATTATTGTAAACAAATCTAAAATATATTTAGTTGGGTTAGGCTAAAATAAATTGTTCTTGTTATAATAAGGTTAGGTAAGTTTTCTAAGATTCTTTTGGAGCAAAATTAATTTTTTTTACATTAACATTAATGGAAAAAATATATCTTTAAACGTATAAGAGAAAATTTTAGAAAGGACTTAATTTTAAATGAGTTCTTGCTAATTGACCAGTTTTACATATTCGGCACGACATTATATATATATATATATATATATATATATATATATATAATATATATATATATATATATATATATATATATATATGTCTGTTCCGTGGATTTCTCTGTCATTGCTAACGATAGTTCACAGACCGGGCCGCGGGGGCGTTGACCCCCGGAACTCTCTCCAGGTGTACAAGGATAACTACCTGATTCTTCTCGACTTTAATGCCTAGTACTTCTACTGTAGTGCTGTAGTATTTGATAATATCAGCAGTTCTGTACAAAATGAGTTTCTTGCAGTCCTCCTCCTTCCTGTGATCCATTCTCTCTCTCTCTCTCTCTCTCTCTCTCTTACCTCTGTACAGAACTGAAAATGGTATAAAATACCGACAAGTTGAAGATTAAAACACATGTGCAACAGTTGGGTATCTCTTTATTGATGAAACATTTCCAGACCATGAAGCTGAACTCTTCTCCAGGCTGAGGGACTGACCACCTCAGATGCTTTTTCTCCAAGGTTGATGGACTGATTACATCATCTTTATTTCATTAACATTTCTCCCTTTGTATTTCACTGAAGAAGCCTACTGTGTAGGCGAAACGTTTCATCAATAAAGATACCCAACTATTGGATATGTCTTAATCTTCACCTCTAAATAAACCACAGTCTTGCGCCTATGGAGAAGACGGCATAACATAAAATACATTATACTAAGCGTTATAAGATCAGTCATGAAAACCTAAATAACTAACACATTTATCAGTTGTTGTAATTTACTAATAAACAAACGTTGTTCCTGGGCTACGTTTTTTTTTTTTATGAACACACTACATATTTCACTGGTTTTGTCTTTTTCTGTGGAAGTTACAGTCACTTTTTAGTGTTGGGTGGACTGAGTTTTGTACATCTAGTAAGACATATTATTGCTGCAGTTTTCGCTCTCCAGGAGCTTTATCAAGCCAGTACTGTACTGGCTTAACGAAGGTCCTGGAGAGTGAAACGTTGCACAGAATACGTTTTTGCATATAGTTATCTCATCAATGTTTCTGCCTCACCTGCGCTGCTCTACTCAATTTATTCCGCCCTTCCAATAGCTGTGTATTGTCTCTAATTCACTTTCTTTTTTTCATTTTAAATATAACTTGTAACTTCTCAAAGAAAGCCCTTGTGATCTGTGTTATCACTCAGAACATATAACTGTCCAGAGCTCTTAATTTACCATACAACTCCAGCAACATTTCCTTGGTCAGTTTCATTGCTACCTGGAGGGTGTTCCGGGGTTCAACGCCCCCGCGGCCTGGTCCATGACCAGATCTCGGACACAAATCTGCAAAATTTTTAACTTAAAGCTTATAGCAAGAGTGTGGCCAGGGACAAAAATAACAAGAGACAAATATAGCTACGCCAGTGAGTCATAATGCACGCAGCATCAGTGACATAAAATACTTTTCACAATGTACAATGTTTT